TAAACAATGCCTCGTCTGCTCATCTTAGGACACACCTCCTTGGTTAATATTTTATTAACTTGATTTGGATTGTATATTTGATGTGTAATGGTTTCTTGATGGATAGCCAGTGGTGGAATCAAGGGGAGGGGGTAGACTGCTCCCCCCCCCCACATACATTTTCAAAATTGTAAAAAAATTGGAGAAAAATTAGAAAATTATATTCAAATTGTAAGTCTGAGAGTGCCATTTCCGGCCATCTCGAGGTGCCATAATCGTTAATTTTCTTAACCTCAGCCCCAACCATGGTGGGGCCGAGATGGTCTGTGAATGTTCTTCCCTGGCTCCATCAGTCAAAATCCCTTCCTGGGCCCCTCTATTCCTTGATCTGCCACTGTGAACTTTCGTATAACTATATTTATTATATAGCCTACGCATAATAATTTTTCCATTTATTTTCAGCATTAAAATTAACTATAAGTGCAGGAGACATAAAAATTGTAACCTTTGGTAATCAACTACATTTTCTACATACATAGAAATTTTTGAAACTTTATTAAAAAAAACCTAAACCTAAACCATAATTCACCACTATAGACACTTTTTGACAAAAATGAAAAATTACGACTTTGTTACCCAAAGAGAAGTGTTCTAATATAGACAATGGGTCGTATCTCATATTATTTGTTATATTTTTATTATTCATTATTTTCGCTTGACTCGCATATTTTGTTCGAAGAACATTTATATGCAGTTGTGCTTGGCAGCACTTCACTTGCAATTTGCAATTTCTAGTAATAAATGCTAGATTTTGCACTGGTAAACAAAATTCATCAGTTAAGTCAAAGAGTATAAAATTGCAAGAGGTCCGACTGCCGGGGATTCTTTGGAACGCAATCCTATTTCAAAAAGTACAGTACTACCCAAAAGGTGCGTGGCCTTTAAAAGGACGTAAAGCGCGTTCATATCGAACGCGTGCTGCGCGTCTATAGAATGTATGCTGGAATTCGAAACGCAGCACGCGTTCAATGCTTTAGCCACCCCCCACCCCCCTAAAATTTCATAGCCATTTCTTTTTAACTGCTTTTTGAAGGTCCAAATTAAAATATTGTTTAGTGTTTTCTTCACATACATAATATTTATGGGCTAAACATTTTACAGTAGTTGTTTTTCAGTGATAAAATAAAAAATGAAATACGTTTTTTAACCGATCAGCGGACAAAAAACGTAGCTAAGAAAGCTGCTTTTGCCTTGCCTTCATGCTCAAATCTCAAAGCAAAGGCCGTTGTGTAGCGGTCTCAACGTTTGTATAATACACTAA